GGCGCCCGCCAGTCAGGCTGGGGTCGCGAGCTTCTTGCAGACAGAACCCAGGTCCCCTTGGAAAGGGGGTGGCGGGGCCGGGGGAGCTAGCCCTGTAGGTCCCAGTCCTGAATGGCCCAGCCCGGGCCCCCTCCCCAGGCAGGAGGGCCAGAGGGAGAGGCTCTAAGGACTCCCCCAAAAGGGGTGAAGTGGGGGGTCCTGAGGCCCAGAGTGGGCGCTGGGTTAAGCGGAAAGAACGCTGCGTTTGGGGCCTGTGGAAACCCCAGCTATATGACTTGTTTGTTGAAATCTCAGCTAATGTCTCTTGTTTGGTCCACATACGTTACTGCTGTTTAATTGAGTCAGTGCTTACAAATCGGGAGACTGAACCAAAAATGCCGATTCCCAGCTTCTCCTGAGAAACCAGAAGTCCCACCCTAGGCCCCGCTGCGGCCGGGCACCACTTGGCTGCAGCCTGGAGCAGCTGCCAAGTTTAAATGGAAGATGGTGCCTGTGCTGGTGCCACAGTCCCCACCCAGCCCAATTCACTGTCTTAGGAGCCCCGAGGGGCTCTGGAAGAAGCTCCTCTGACCAGCCCAGGGGGATGATGGAAATCCGCAGCCGGAGAGAGAGGGTCACTGGCATCCCTGTGATGTGTAAAGGAACAGCCACGATTACAACAAAGTGGGCTCCCGTTTCCAGCACACCCCTGGCGCCAGGCCCCTTGCTAGGGCTGGACGCCGCGGCTCACACACTTCGGGGCACCTGTGGAACTGCCGTTTTCCTCTCTCACGTGGCGGAGGCTGCCAAGGGGACCCGGGGTGAACTACTGTAAAGCATGAGTGGGGACCTCATGGCCCCAAAGGGGGCAAAAAAATGTATCCTTTTGGTGTATCAACACAGATACACATACAGTACATGACTAGATGTATAGTTTATCAGTCATATTAAAATCTCAAAGGAGAGGGGTCATTAAGGGGAAAAAGCCTAGGAATGTTCTTGAGAAACTTGGCTGTAGAGGAACAAGCACCCCAGGTGTCCTGTTGTGAATTTATCATTACCCTTCCTCCCCATCACAGTCACACACACGCACAAATTTCCCAGGGGGGGAATGCAAGCCGCTCATTACAGGGCTCAAGGTCATACCCACCCTGGAGAGAGAGAGGCTGGAGAAACAGTTGAAGCTCCAGCCCCAGGCAGACTTGCATCAGATAAGCCATGACAATATTGATCTAAGAAGTGCTTGACTCTCTTTCTGATGCCCCAGGGACTAGCAACCGGCAGAAGGAACGCTTGGCGCGCGCACACACACACACACACACACACACACACGCTCCCCAAGGACTAAAGCTTTCCGGAAAGCTCGCTGCTCCCTAATGGCCACACCACTCCTGTCCCCAGCTGGGAGTCAGGCTGGGAGTGCAGCTCGGGTTAGGCTCTGAACCAGGAGGGGGCACGGGGCCCTGGGGCGCAGCAGTAATCACCTCAGGCCGGCGTGGGATGCTGATCTTGGAAAGAGCTTCTATGGCCTTAATCTCTGACTCAGCACGACGTTCGGTCAGTCTGGCCAGAGAGCAATTAACTGCTCCCATCCCCACACCACACAGGGAGCTGCTGGAACCCTCTCCTGCTTCACGCACACAAGTAGGGTTTAAATCAGCGTCACAGTACATGAGGCCATATCCTTTCAGGGTATTTAAAGGGGAGATGTTTTGGGGGGGATTTAATCTGCAGGACCAAATGGACTGGATTCAGGCTGAACGTTGCTGGCCGTTGGTGGTGAAGCAATACTGAGATGCAAGTGGGGGGAAATGCAGACACAAGCATAGTCAGGAAAATGCAGAACCGTCACAACTTGATAACAAAAGAGACATACCCCAATTTTTTTGAAATGTTTTCATTGTTTTGTTTTTTAAAATATTGGTCCACCTGGAACTTATATAAATCTCAAACGTTAGTTAGTGAGGCAAACAATACAAACCTATCAAAAAGAACTTTAAAGCTTTAAAGAGCTTGAAAGTTCTTTAAAGTTCAATTTCTAGAAATATAGCAGAATAAACACTCTTCTGTATAAGACTTTGAAGAGTTTGACTGAATTGAGAAATCTTCCCAGTGGGGTAAAATGCATTGAAGAGGCAGAAACCAGAGTCACATGACTCTGTCCTCCAACCTAAACGAAGTCAGCTAGGAAAAGTGTAAAGTAGTGAGTGCCTTAGGGTACATACACTTTTACCTAGTTCCCATCTGAAACATTACAAAGTGGCCCATCCCAAATGTTATTACATGCAGGGAGCCCGCCTTCTCCAACCCTATCTGCCCACACATCAACAGCAAAGCCAACATAAAGCGTCTCCTGCCAGGCGAGGTGTGGCGGCCCTTCAGTGCACAGCTGGCCTCTCATTTCTTGACTAGTCGCTCTGCTCTTGCGCGTCCACGTTGACACAGTACCCACAGTCGCTCCTTTGTCCTGCAGTGACAGCCTCCCTCCACGTCCAGGTGCCTCCTGGGAAAGGAAGCAGAAAGCTGTCCGGGGGGGTGGTACCCAGTTTTCATCACCCGGTCAAAGGGGCCCCTGAAGAGCAGGACGCCCCACCTGGACCCTGGAGAGCAACAGTGCCAACTTCGTCAGCTGTCTCAGGGGGACTTCGGTCCGTTAGGGACCTCCGGAGAGGCCCGTCCCACAGGCGGTGACACGGCCGCAGGCTCAGGTGAGACCCGGCTCTGCCGCTTCTCCCGGGTGTCAGAGGCGCGACCCTCTCCCGGGCACCCGCTCGGCGCCCTCAAGTTCCC